TCCTCTCCTCTCCTCTCCTCTCCTCTCCTCTCCATTTCTCTTCCTCTATTTCTCTCCTCTCTCAGTTCTTCAAATTACTCAGAATTTGATTTTAGCAAAAAGTATATAGCATTCCCATGCTTTAGCACTGAACCTTATCAGTATCATGTATATTAATAGTGTCCATTAGTGGTGCTAATATTCATACCAGTGCACCATAAATGAATGTAAAATATTATTTAAATTAATATTACCCAAAAAGCACTCAAATCAAAATTTCGAGGTTCTAAGTAGCAGAAATATATTATTTTTTAATTTAAAAATTCATTCAGATTCAGAATTTGAACTAATTGGAGCTTTTAATTGTAAGAAGCCAGCAAAACAAAAACTGCAAGTTTCATTCAGCTCTGATATATAAGTTAATAAAAGCTCCTTCCTCTGTCTCTAGTCATCTAAGCTGAATTTAAGTTGTATTCATAATGTCTCATGTGCTTCCTCTTGGACTTTCAGCCTGTGTGATACAGCAAGATGGAGTATTTGCCATTTTGTATAAAATGGAAAAATATTTAGGAGTTTGCTAATAGCTACAGAAGAAAAGTACTCTCAGAAATATACCTTTAATTTTAAACTAAAATAACTTTTTTTAAAATGGGGTTTTTTTATGATTTGAAACACTTTTACCCAGTGGCTTGAATATCTAAGATTTAAATCTTGGGCACCCGTGTTTTGACATTTCCTAAGTTTAAGCAGAGTAGCAGAAAGTCCAGGTCTTGTACCTCAAGAGAAATTTGGCCACCTTAACTTGTAGATTGATGCAGCTTGTGCCTTTAAAGGCCTGCTCAGAAGAGCATTCTGGTAACTCTGTTTTTAATCAGCCTCTCTCTTTTCTCATCAGCCATATTCTGTGACTACTACAACCCTCGCAATGAGTGTGACTGGCACTACGAGCCTTGTGGCAGTAATATCACAACGTGCAGGATGATCAATAATGTCACCACCAACTTTACAATACCACTGCTGGAAGGTAATCAATTCCTTGCCATTTTATATTGTGTTTTGTATAACTCTGTTCTGATGTCTTTTAATAATTATGGGCTAGTCAGTCAACTTGATGAGATGTTCCTGAATCTGCTATGTTGAGTTTGCCTCCAGTCTTACATAGACGTTTCCTATAATGTTATTTATTATTTATTGACATCAATGGGATAGTTATATTCCTGTCAGCCACAAAACTAGCTTTCTGCTTGGATGATATCCTGAAACATGAGTTACTATTACATCATGGTTATTTTGAATCCTATGCAAAAGTATTTCAAAAGCAGAAAATCTTTGATATGGCAAAGAAGCAAGTCACTTAGAGTTGGGCGTTTTTGACCTTGTCATTTTTTATGTACCAGATCATCTTGCCTTTGCTAGATTAGTGTGCAACATTTACCTACCTTTACACTGGAAAATATCTTTCATAGCAGACACACTGATGCTGCTATACATTGGATTCTTACTGGAGATTCTGTTTCCTTTGTAGATGAGATATTAGTAGGTGACAGTCCTTATGGTTGATAATGGAGTGGGAATTTCACATTAAAAGGACTGCAACGATCCAAGAATGTGAAAGATTTTACAAGTATCTTCTGGTTTACCACATGGTAAAGCAGGAGAAAAAACTTATATTTTTAGCCATAAAGTCTTTTTGGTCTGGACTAGAAGCACTTACCTCCAGTTTAGGGATTGGCAGGAAATGCCTTGAGTTTGACTTTGCTTTGAACTGCTAGTAAAAAAATTAAAAGAAAAATAATCAAACAAACCAAAACTCAAGAGAAACAAAACAAAGCAAAATACCCCTACAAAACCCTACTAAAAAAATCAGCAAAAATCCCTAACCAAAATATTTTCTAAAAATCCAACAAACCTCTATGTTTTAAAATAAATTGTCTTATATTATTAGAAAGATTTAGGAGGTGTCAGAAGACAGATTATTATAGATCCCGTTATCTTTCTCAGTTATTTTTGTTGTTTAATTTCACTAGAAATATAGAGCACACCTATTTTTATTAAGACATCTTAAGTTCAGTCTGGCAGTGTAAAGTGACTTTTAAGTACAAGCTAATTACATGGTGCTTCAGTTTAAAGGCTATTTAGAACTCCAGTACAGTATAAAGAGGACTTCATGTCATTAATAATTGGACTTAATAAGAGGTTATTTGGAGGAAGGAGATACAATAATAATAGCAGAATAATATTTTTAAGTGTATTTACATGAAAAATAGAATGATCCTTTGCAGTGGAGTTTGCATCACTGCCCAAGGGTAAGGATAAACACAGATAAATTATCTGTTTGAGGTAGGGATGATGTATTGAAGGCATATAAACAAGGTCTAATGTTCCAAGAAATGCAGTGAAAAACCTGTTTGTTAGTGAATCTGCTTCCATATTCCTCACAGAAGTATTAGTGATACAGTGATCTATACAAAAATTGGGGTGTTTCTTTGTCTTAAAATTACTAGCTGCCCATAGAAATGAGTATAAATTAGGAGTTTCTCTAAGGTATTGAACTAACAAAAAGAAACTTCACTAGTTTTCGTAAAAAAACCTCTTAATCCTCCTCACCCCAATATTATCAGTGAGAACTGCTGAAGTCTTTTGAAAAGACTAATTATCCACGGTTTGATTTGAATGGGAAGTTTTAGATTTCTTTCACTATGCTTGATTCAGTGAGAGTAATTTCCCTTCAGATGGTAGCATATCACTGAGTTAACTTTTTGTACTTTTTCTTCATCGTGTATTCTGTTCTACCTGTCATCAATAGGCTGCTACCCCAGATGCCCTAATGACAAGCCTATTTATAATGAAGAGACAAAGGAATGTGTGACTCCAGATAAATGTGGATGTTACCTCGAGGATGGAACCTCTGTACCTCCTTGGGAAGAAGTACCCTCAAAAGAAAACTGTACAACATGGTATATAAAAATTACTTGCAGTAATTCGGGAAATAATTTGTGTGTGCTGAGTCCTTCATTTACTTTACTGGGCTTCAAAAAAATAGAGATGCAACTTCAGCTGAAGAGCTGGTATATTCTTGTATTTCATAGTTTTCCAAACCCATAATAGTCCAGATTTCAGGTTGGTAGTTATTATAATTAGGGTATTAGCAAATTCACAAATTATTAGCAAATTATACCTGTCAACTGTCATAAATTATAATAATTAAACCTGGGTGAACTTCTAAAACAACCTTTCAATTCTCTTTGGGAAGAGAGGGTTTACTCTGCCTTGCATTAAAACACTTAAAACTGGGACTGCCACATCACTGTAATCTGAAATACTCTTGCCTTGAAAGAGATAGTTGAGTCCCAACTATTTGCTTAGAGTGTTAGCAATGACAGCACTCACACCTCTGGCCCTACATGGTGACCAGAGAATAATCTGATCTAGCTGTTAAATTCACTCTGCAAAACAACTGCTATTGCAATATTGCAACTTGCAATTGTACTGAAAGCGGTGACTTAATTTGAAAGAAAAATGGTAGGCAATACTAGAAAATATACCCAGAAATATATCCAGTAGTGTGAATGAAGACCAAGAGGCAAATATCTGTGTTTCTGTACTCTTGCAAACAGGTGTCATAAAACATCAGCAACATTTTAATTTTTGAAAATTTTTCTTTTAGTGTCTGTGTCCCATCAGGATCCATACAGTGTAAACCAATCCCAGGTAAATAACTTTTGGGTTTTTCTGGAAACAAAAGGGAAAAAAAAAGCATAGAACTGCTCTGTCTGACTCTACAAAAGGCTTAGTATTGATTTAGAATAATTCTTTCCAGTATTAGTGAAAGTTGTGACTAAAGAAAATTTGTTTGTGCTTCGTTGAACTTTGCTGTTAGTGCTTCTGGTTCAACCTTTTTCTCATGCCCCTTCAGTCTTTCTCCCCATGTCCCATATCCAAACTAATGGATTTCAGTACAAGTTTGCACTTTCTGAACATGTAGTTTTTACTATAAAAGTGTCAGTTAGTAAATTGCAATTATTATTTCTCTCAGAACATTTTAAAACCTACTTTCTAAGTCTGTGCCACCAGGCATTTTATTCAGGACTTGATTAAATATATCCTAACATTGCTTTAAATGTAATGATAAAGTAGCACAGTATAGTAGGTCTAAGCTCCAGGTATAGGTCTGAAAAACACGACTCATGTAAATGCTCTCTTGTCCATAAGTATTTTACCTCTGCCTCTTACATGGTAGTAGCAAAATTGCACAGTAAAGCTCTTTCTTGCAGCGTGTCCTTGTGTCATCAATGGAACAAGTTATCAGCCGGGTGAAACTGTGGGAAACGTACAGCATGGCGACATATGTACAGAATACATTTGTGCAGAAAATGGTTCTGTGGTTCCTGGAAAAGTCTATCCTTGCCCAACATCTTCACCTACAATCATTTCAACTTCCACCCCTACCATTACTCTTACCACCACCACTGCAGGTAAATCACCAATACAGATGTGATCTAAAAATTGTTTTCTTTAAGGAAAATATTTTAAATATAGAATGTACAATTATATGGGATTATAGTTGACACAGATAGAGCAATATTTATGAATTGTTTTATCACGCCCCACTAAAGAAAGATTTTTAGCATCTTGAATTGATTTGTTTCCCATGAAAGAAATTTTAAGTACAAATGTACAGGGTGCCTTCCTATTTCTGAAAAACACATGTTAGCTTTAAAATATCCTAATGGGATAGTAGAAATAATGTTAAGAGTGTCAGCAAAAAAATACTATTCTATTTCTTTTGAAATGATAGAGAAATCTCTTTTTTTTCTATTTCAGTTTCCACTACGAGCCATCCAGTAACTACAAGTAAGTTATAAATACAAAACAAGGTTATTAAAAATGTCAAAAGAATATTTAAAGGAAGAATAAACTAAAGATAATCAATTCAGAAAAATCTATTTTAAATAAAAATGAATACTTTTTTATAACTTGAAAAGTGCTATTAGTATAGAGAGAAGAAGGACCTTGAAAGGTTTCAGCTTGGTTATTTTATTTTGATGCAAAATTCCCAGTTTAAAGACCTGGTAATACAGAACCAATTTTAGAAATCTTTTCTTTGGAAAGATGACAAATTGCAATGCCATTCTCTAGCCCTTAATGGAAGAAAATTAAAAATTATCTTCTCAGGATGTTCTCTGTAACATCTGAAATCTCTGTCTTTTCTTGCAGCTCCTTGCTTTGGACTGGTCTGTGACTGGACTAAGTGGTTTGATGTTAGTGATCCTGAAAAAGGTGATGGTGACTATGAAACATATGAGGAAATAAGAAAGCATGGAAACAAAATATGTACAGCGCCTGAGAAAATTGAATGCAGGGCTAAGAATCAACCTGATGTGAGCTTAGAAGAACTTGGTCAGAAAGTCCAGTGTAATGTTACATATGGGCTAATCTGTAAAAATGATGAGCAAGATGTAACTATGTGGCCACTTTGCTATAATTATGAAATCAGAGTAAACTGTTGTGAGTGGCAAGAAATTCCTTGTGGGCCTACAGCTACACCTACTGCACCACAAACTACAACTTCAACGACCATCAAGACAATACCCACCACCACTGCAACCAGGACTTCAACCACACCCATACACATCACTTCCACAAGTGAGTATGCACCACCAGTCCCCACTCCAGTATCCCCAACATCTACAGGTATTTAACAGAAAAATACTCTGTGATCTTACTTTGCCTTTGAAGAAATAAAAGGCTATTGGCTACTAAAGGCAGGTCACAGTCATAGAAAACGTAGATTTGCAAGGAAGTCTTACTTAGGAGGGTTTGGACTTTTAAGTTTCTGCTGGAGAGAATATACCCAGGAGGACCTGCTGTGTGAGAAAAGACTAGCCATGCTTCTAACTCCTGTTGCTAGAGGCATTTTCTGGGTGGGGCTGCAAAGGCTTCCTTCTTCAGGCTGGTGTGGTATTTCTGATTTTGTAAGAAGTATTTTCCAGCACCATGCCTAATCCCTTCACTAGGAAAAGAAAACCATGAGCTTCTCTGTGCATAGATGTCTAGGATTCTGCTTTCCAGGGCCAGAAAGGGAGGGTTGGTGCTAAGGACCTTTGCAGTGCTAAGGGTGGGCTCATCTGTTTATGTCTGTGGCAGCTGCCTCATGTACAGCTTCTGTCCAGTTCACATTGAGTCCCACTCATGCATTTGTGCCTTTGCCTGATTTCTCTGTCCCTGCTGTTTGTAACAGGCACAGCATCCCCTACAACAGAATTGCCAACCACTTCCACATCACCAGAGACTCCCAGCACCACCACCACCACAACCACCACCACCAGAGAGCCAACGACAACAACTCTTCCAACATCAACAACAAGTATGATCCAAAATCAAATAATTCCCACCAAAAGCCCGGTGCCTCCAACTACAGTACCAACAAATAATTTTCTTGTTCTGTTGTCATTTGTGTCCTTATTGTGGGAGTAGTAAAGGTCCATGAGCACCTCCATATGTGGCTCTGGATGGGATCAGGGATGGGTGTAACGTTTGGGCATACTAGGAAATGTCATGTGCCCAAAGCTGGCTTTCTGGTCTGGCTATTTAAAAGAAACAAGTATTTAAGGGTCCTTGGGATAAGGTCTTGTCTTCCCTGACTGAACAATGCTCCAAGGAGGTACATCTTCCTTTGCAATGTATGCTAGTGGATGACAATGTTTATAGATGTAGGAAGCAAGGATTTCTGTGACAGGCTTTTGGGAAAAGTTTCAGTCTGCAGACTGTCACTTCCTCTCAAGTGTGGCCATTGGCTGATGAGATTCACTATTGCTCTGGAAGCCCTTCAAAGGGCTGACATCGAATCAGTGGAACTCTTACAACGATGAGGCAGGAACATATTGCTTTGCTTTGTAGTCAAACCACACATTCCCTTCTCAGCTCTGGCCCCAGAATTTAGTAAGGTGTTTAGGTAATGAGGCAAAGATAGAAGGCCCCAGCCAGATCCAAAGCATTACTCCTCCTCATCTCTTGCTTGGTCTTTCTGATTTTGGAAGAAGCATCTTCCAGAACTATCCCCAGTCTCTTCACAAGGCAAGGAGGGACATGACTGTCTCTATGCATGGCTGTGAAGGATTCTGCTTTCTGAGGCCAGAAAGGAAGAGTTGGTGCTATGGACCTTTGTTGTGTTAGGGTTGGCTGAACCCTCTAGGTCTGGGGCAGCTGCCTCATGCACAGTTTCTGTTCATTTCACATTGAATCCCACTTGTGCCTTTGTCTGATTTCTCTGTCCCTGCTGTTTGTAACAGGCACACCGAGCACAACATCCCCTACAACAGAATTGCCAACCACTTCCACATCACCAGAGACTCTCATCACCACCACCACCAGAGAGCCAACGACAACACCAACCACCACAGGTCCCATAGGTATGATCCAAAACCAAATAATTCCCACCAGAAGCCCTGTGCCTCCGACTAGAGTACCAACAAATAATTCTCTTGCTCTGTTGTCATTTGTGCCCTTGATGTGGGAGTAGTAAAGGTCCATGAGCAGCTCCATATGTGGTTCTGGATGGGATCAGGGATGGGTGTAACTTCTGGGCAACCTGTGGCCAAACCTGGCCCATTGTCTGGCTATTTCATCAGGAACAAGGATTTAGGGGTCCTTGGGAGAAGGTCTTGTCTTCCCTGACTCAACAGTGCTCCAAGGATGTATTTCATGCTCATGCCCAGCTTAGACAGCTACTGAAGTGATGGGAATGTTGCTTTTGCTGCTATTGGAGGGTGTCCTTCATCTGGGCAGATTGTAGTCACTGGATCCAAGGTGTGCAGTTGGAGTGGGACTAAAGTTGGTGGCAGTGGCATTTCAGGCTCTGTTTGGGCACTGCTGTGCAGACCTTCTTCCCTCCCTCTCCTGTTTTGTCTCTGTGGCCATTGCTGTTACTTACCAGCTGTTTGGGCTGTGGGAAGCTTTCAGAGCTGTAGCTGGCAGAGTTTGGGGATTGGTTTCAGAGTGCAGATTTGACAGACACAACCTGTGGGCAGCTGGGTTCTTCCAGTGTTCCTGTTGGTGCTTGGCTCCAGTGATCCGTGTGCTGCTGGGAGGCAGCTGAGGCTTTGTCAGCAGCATGTGTCCCGTTGCCTGCTTTCCCTGTGGTTGGGTGCCTTCCCAGTGCTTAGTTTCTCTGTGAGATACTGAGGTGGTGTGCATGGCCCAAGAAGCTGAGAGTGGCAGGAGTCTCTGCTTAGTCCCGCTCTGCCTCCTGTGTTGGTCTTAGGCGAGTGGTTTTTTTGCACACGAGAGTCCATACAAAGCAATGTGACCCAGCTGTGGGGGGCACACACAGAACTCATCAGTGCCTGTGTTGTCCTGGTTTGGGCCTGGAGTGGTTTGTAGGGCCAAGAAGGAGAGGCCTGGTCACTTCACTGAGCTTTCTTGTGGCCAGTGTTGGCTGAGTGCAGTGGCATCCTGAGGGCCACCGTTGAGTGCAGGGGGTGCCCAGGGCAGCAGCTGTGAGTGAGCTGGTGCTCTGCCTTGTTGTGTCTGTCCTGTCTGTTTCTCATTGTCTGTCTTGTTGTTGCCTCCCAGGGTGTGAATGCGTCTGGTCAGAGTGGTTCGATACAACTTATCCAGATGCTTCCGACAAGAACAGTGGTGACTACGAAACCTTTGAGAACATTTGGAACAAGTTCCCGTCCTGGGAGTGTGCGAAAGTCGAGAATGTTTCATGCCGAGCACACAAATTCCCTGACACTCCCATTGCAGATTTAGGGCAGAAAGTGGAATGCAGTGTTGACGTAGGGCTCATCTGTAACAATAAAGATCAGCAGATAGGAGGTATCATACCGATGCCAGTGTGCCTCAACTATGAGATCAGTGTCTGCTGCACCCCCAGCTACCCAGAGTGTCTTGCAACTCCAAGCACCCCAAGCACCACACCTTCCAGAGCTTCAACCACCACGAGCAGTGTGTCCACCCCAATATCAACAACCTCTCCAACGCCAACAGCAGAGAAGACTTCCATCAGTACCACCCCTACCACCACCACCACCACTACGACCACGTTGCCCCCCAACGCCACCACCACCAGTGGCAGCACCTCACAGACAACACCAACTGTTCCTGTCTCAACAACACCCATTTCAACCACTTCAGGCACCTCCACGCCCACACCAACATATACCACCACCACACCAACGACAGGTACTTCTCTGATCTGTGCTCTCATGTGTTTCCTTGCTGTGGGGAATTGAAGGTCTGTGAGCATCTCCATCTGTGCCTCTGTATGGGATCTGAGATTGGACTGATTGCTGTGTATCCGGTGGAATGGCCTTTGCCCAAAGGTGGCCCTTGGGCTGGTTGTTTCAGAAGGAACAAGGACACAGGGGCCTATGTCCTCCTGTCCTGTGGAGATACTGATCCTCTTGGTACTGTGCATACATNACCGGAGACTCCCACCACCACCAGCACCACCGGCCCTCCGAGCACAACAACCTCTGTTTCTGGACCAACAACTACCCCCTCAACTCCTGGAAGTATGTTCCCAAAAGCAATAACTCTCACCAAAAGCCCTCTGCCCCCAGAAACAGAATAGACAAAAAATTTTCTGTTTCAGTTGTCAGTTCTGTCCTTGCTGTGAGAGTAATGGAGGTCCATGAGCACCTCCATATGTGTCTGTAGATGGGATCAAGGGTATATGTCATTCTGGGAATCCCAGGAAAAGTCCTGTGGCCAAATCTGACCCTTGGGCTGCTATTTCATAAGGAACAAGGATTTAGGGATTCTTGGGGGAAGGTCTTGTCTTTCCTGACACAACAGTGCTCCAAGGAGGTATTTCATGCTGGTGCCCAGCTTAGACAGAAGCTGCACCAATGGGTAACATTGCTTTTGCAGCTGTTGGACTGTGTCTTTCAGCTGACCAGAATGTAGTTGCTGGACACATGGAGTGCAATTGTAGTGGGATTTGTTCTTGCAGCAGTGGCATTTCAGGCTCTGTTTGGGCTCAGCCCTTTGTCCTCCTCCTATGGCCTCTCAGTGTTAGTGGTTGTCAGCTGTTGGACATGTAAGAAGGAAGGCTTCTCCTGCCAGCCTTTGAGGGACCAGTTCCACTCTGCAGACTGCCTCTTGCCATGAACTGTAATTTTTGGCTGATGCTTTGTCTGATGAGATCCACTAGTGCCCAGGGAAGCTCTGCATCAGGCTGAAATTGAAATACAGAGGGAATCACATGCCAATCAGGCAGGAATATAGTCCTGGACATGCTTTCTTCCACGAGCCCAGCTTCCACTCTTATGTCCTGTTCCATGAATTAGTGAGGTGTTCACATAATGAGGCAGAGATAGAAAGCTCCAGCTAGGTCCAAAGCATTGCTCCTCCTCATATGACTCTTACCTCTTGGCTGGTCTCTCAGATTTTGTGAGAAGCACCTTTCAGCACCATCTCTAATCTCTGCAGTAGGAGAGGCCATGGCACTTTCTGTGCATGGATGTCAAGGAGTCTTCTTTCTGGGGCCAGAAAGGGAGGGCTGGTTCTGGAGACCTTTGCTGTGCTAAGGGTGGGCTGACCTGTCGATATCTGTGGCAGCTGCCTCATGTGCAGCTTCCATTGAGTTCCTAATGAATCCCACTCATGCATTTGTGCCTTTGTCTGTTTTCTCTGTCCCTGTTGTTTCTAACGGGTGCAGCTCCACGCACAGCGAGCACCCCAGAAACCCCAGAAACACCAACTACTCCCACGCCAACAGCATCTGAAACTCCCATCATCACTGCCAGCACCACGATACCCCCCAGCAGCACCACCAGCATCAGCACCCCTAAGACAACAACGACTGTTACTGGATCATCAACAACCTCCTCCACTTCTTCAAGCACATCCACACCCATATTAGAACACACGACCACAACTCCAGGTACTTCTGCCATGTCTGATTTTTATCCCCTTGCTTTGGGAGTAATGAAGATGTGTTAGCACTTCCATTTGTGCTTCAGCGTGGAATTAGGGATGAATGTAACTGCTGTGCATCCCATGAAATGTCCTTTGCTGAAAGCTGGAGCTTGGGTTGGCTATTTCAGAAGTGATGAGAATTCAGGGGTCCTTGTGAGAAGCTCTTGGCTTCCATTACTCCACAAGCATCTAAGAAGATATTTCATGTTGGTACTCCTGCTGGGCTTAAAGAGATACTAAACTGATGGGAAATCTTGTGTTCTTGTTGCACCTTGTCCTTCATCTGTCCAGAAAGTAGTCACTGGACTTAAGTTGTGAAATTGCACTGGGGGTTACTCTTGGGGCACTGTAATTTCAGATGCTTTCTGGGAAAAATTTTGCAGACTTTGTTTGCTGTCTTCCTCTGCAATGTCAGTGCTAGTGGATGACAGAGTGTTTATAGATGCAGGACAGTGTTTATGGATGCAGGAAGCAAGGATTTCTGTGACAGACTTTTGGGAAAAGTTTCAGTCTGCAGACTGTCAATTCCTCTCAAGTGTGGCCATTGGCTGATGAGATTCACTGTTGCTCTGGAAGCCCTTCAAAGGGCTGACATCGAATCAGTGGAACTCTTACAACGATGAGGCAGGAACATGTTGCTGTGCTTTGTAGTCAAACCAAACAGTCCCTTCTCAGCTCTGGCCTCAGAATTTAGTAAGGTGTTTAGGTAATGAGGCAAAGATAGAAGGCCCCAGCCAGATCCAAAGCATTACTCCTCCTCATCTCTTGCTTGGTCTTTCTGATTTTGGAAGAAGCATCTTCCAGAACTATCCCCAGTCTCTTCACAAGGCAAGGAGGGACATGACTGTCTCTATGCATGGCTGTGAAGGATTCTGCTTTCTGAGGCCAGAAAGGAAGAGTTGGTGCTATGGACCTTTGTTGTGTTAGGGTTGGCTGAACCCTCTAGGTCTGGGGCAGCTGCCTCATGCACAGTTTCTGTTCATTTCACATTGAATCCCACTTGTGCCTTTGTCTGATTTCTCTGTCCCTGCTGTTTGTAACAGGCACACCGAGCACAACATCCCCTACAACAGAATTGCCAACCACTTCCACATCACCAGAGACTCTCATCACCACCACCACCAGAGAGCCAACGACAACACCAACCACCACAGGTCCCATAGGTATGATCCAAAACCAAATAATTCCCACCAGAAGCCCTGTGCCTCCGACTAGAGTACCAACAAATAATTCTCTTGCTCTGTTGTCATTTGTGCCCTTGATGTGGGAGTAGTAAAGGTCCATGAGCAGCTCCATATGTGGTTCTGGATGGGATCAGGGATGGGTGTAACTTCTGGGCAACCTGTGGCCAAACCTGGCCCATTGTCTGGCTATTTCATCAGGAACAAGGATTTAGGGGTCCTTGGGAGAAGGTCTTGTCTTCCCTGACTCAACAGTGCTCCAAGGATGTATTTCATGCTCATGCCCAGCTTAGACAGCTACTGAAGTGATGGGAATGTTGCTTTTGCTGCTATTGGAGGGTGTCCTTCATCTGGGCAGATTGTAGTCACTGGATCCAAGGTGTGCAGTTGGAGTGGGACTAAAGTTGGTGGCAGTGGCATTTCAGGCTCTGTTTGGGCACTGCTGTGCAGACCTTCTTCCCTCCCTCTCCTGTTTTGTCTCTGTGGCCATTGCTGTTACTTACCAGCTGTTTGGGCTGTGGGAAGCTTTCAGAGCTGTAGCTGGCAGAGTTTGGGGATTGGTTTCAGAGTGCAGATTTGACAGACACAACCTGTGGGCAGCTGGGTTCTTCCAGTGTTCCTGTTGGTGCTTGGCTCCAGTGATCCGTGTGCTGCTGGGAGGCAGCTGAGGCTTTGTCAGCAGCATGTGTCCCGTTGCCTGCTTTCCCTGTGGTTGGGTGCCTTCCCAGTGCTTAGTTTCTCTGTGAGATACTGAGGTGGTGTGCATGGCCCAAGAAGCTGAGAGTGGCAGGAGTCTCTGCTTAGTCCCGCTCTGCCTCCTGTGTTGGTCTTAGGCGAGTGGTTTTTTTGCACACGAGAGTCCATACAAAGCAATGTGACCCAGCTGTGGGGGGCACACACAGAACTCATCAGTGCCTGTGTTGTCCTGGTTTGGGCCTGGAGTGGTTTGTAGGGCCAAGAAGGAGAGGCCTGGTCACTTCACTGAGCTTTCTTGTGGCCAGTGTTGGCTGAGTGCAGTGGCATCCTGAGGGCCACCGTTGAGTGCAGGGGGTGCCCAGGGCAGCAGCTGTGAGTGAGCTGGTGCTCTGCCTTGTTGTGTCTGTCCTGTCTGTTTCTCATTGTCTGTCTTGTTGTTGCCTCCCAGGGTGTGAATGCGTCTGGTCAGAGTGGTTCGATACAACTTATCCAGATGCTTCCGACAAGAACAGTGGTGACTACGAAACCTTTGAGAACATTTGGAACAAGTTCCCGTCCTGGGAGTGTGCGAAAGTCGAGAATGTTTCATGCCGAGCACACAAATTCCCTGACACTCCCATTGCAGATTTAGGGCAGAAAGTGGAATGCAGTGTTGACGTAGGGCTCATCTGTAACAATAAAGATCAGCAGATAGGAGGTATCATACCGATGCCAGTGTGCCTCAACTATGAGATCAGTGTCTGCTGCACTCCCAGCTACCCAGAGTGTCTTGCAACTCCAAGCACCCCAAGCACCACACCTTCCAGAGCTTCAACCACCACGAGCAGTGTGTCCACCCCAATATCAACAACCTCTCCAACGCCAACAGCAGAGAAGACTTCCATCAGTACCACCCCTACCACCACCACCACCACTACGACCACGTTGCCCCCCAACGCCACCACCACCAGTGGCAGCACCTCACAGACAACACCAACTGTTCCTGTCTCAACAACACCCATTTCAACCACTTCAGGCACCTCCACGCCCACACCAACATATACCACCACCACACCAACGACAGGTACTTCTCTGATCTGTGCTCTCATGTGTTTCCTTGCTGTGGGGAATTGAAGGTCTGTGAGCATCTCCATCTGTGCCTCTGTATGGGATCTGAGATTGGACTGATTGCTGTGTATCCGGTGGAATGGCCTTTGCCCAAAGGTGGCCCTTGGGCTGGTTGTTTCAGAAGGAACAAGGACACAGGGGCCTATGTCCTCCTGTCCTGTGGAGATACTGATCCTCTTGGTACTGTGCATACATCCTTCCCTGACCACAGATTCCCATCTCAGCTCTTACTCCTTGAGTGAGTGAGGTGTTCAGGTAATGAGGCACAAATAGAAAGCCCCAATAGATGAAAAGCATTGTTCGTCGTCCTTCTCTTCCTTATTGGTAGATGTCTCTGATTTTGTGAGAAGCACCTTCCAGCACTATCCCCAGTATCTTCACAAGGCATGGAGGTCTGTGACCCTGTGTGTGTGCATGGCTTTTAAGGATTCTGCTTCCTGGGGCCAGAAAGGAAGGGTGCTGCTAGGGACCTTTGTTGTTCTAAGTGTGGGCTGATCTTTCTAGGTCTGTTGCTGCTGCCTCATGTGCAGCTTCTGCTGAGTTCATATTGAATCCCACTGATTCCTTTGTCTCTTTGTTTTCTCTGTCTCTGCCACTTTAGCAGGCACACTGAGCACAGTATCCACTACACCAGAGTTGCCATCCACACCGGAGACTCCCAGTACCACCACCACCACCACCAGCAGGTCTCCAAGCACAACCACAACTGGTACTGGGTCACCAACCTCAACTACTTCAAGCACGTCCTCTCCCACACCAACATACACCAGCACCCTAGGAACTCCAGGTACTTCTAAGTTTTGTAGTTTCATGTGTTTTTGGCTTTGGGAGTACTGTGAGTCCATGAACACCTCTTTTTTTTTTTTTTTTTTTTTTTTTTTTTTTTTGGCATCAAGAATGGGTTTAACTTCTGGACAGCCCCTGAAACATCCTTTGCTCATAGCTGGCCCATCAGCTCTTTTTCCAGAAGGAAGAAGAACTCAGTAGCTTTTGGTGCTGTTGGACTTAGTGTCTTTCAGCTGGCCAGAGTGGTGTCACTGGACACGTGGAGTGTAATGGAGTGGGGCTTGGTTTTGTGACACTTGCATTTTAAGCTCTCTTTAGGCACAGATATGTAGACTTTCTTCCTTCTCTTCTGCTCATTTGCCATGTCCATACTAATTAAGCTACTTAGAGATGTAGGAAGGAAGCATTCCTCTGCAGTGCTCTTGGGAACAGTTTCACTCTGCAGGCTGTGATTTCCTCTGAACTGTAGTCTTTGCCTGACAAGATTCACTAGTGCTCTGGGAACTCCTGATATCAGAAAACCACATGGCAATCAGGCAGGAACATAGTCCTGTGCACGTTTCCTTCCCTGATCACAGCTTCTTCTCTCAGCTCGTACCCCAGGATTTAGTGAGGTGTTGTAGATAATGGGGCAGAGATAGAAAGCCCCATCTGGAGCCAAAGAATTACTCCTTCTCATCTCCTACCTGTTGGTAGGTCATTCTGATTTCATGCAAAGCACCTTCCAGCACCATCCCCAGTCTCTTTGCTAGGAGAGGAGGGCCTGCGTGTGCACAAATGTCAAGGCGTTTGCTTTCCAGGCCCAGAAAGGAAGGGCTCATTCTAGGGATCTTTGCTGTGCTAAGGGTGGGCTGACCTGTCTATATCTGTGGCAGCTGCCTCATGTGCAGCTTCTGTTCACATTGAGTCCCACTCATGCATTTGTGCCTTTGTTTTCTCTGTCCCTGCTCTTTCCAACAGAAACAGCTCCATCCACACCAAGCACACCAAAATCAACAACCACTTCCCGACCACCAGAGACTCGCACCACCACCACCAGCCCTCCAAGCACAACAACCACTGTTACTGGGTCAACAACAACCATCTCAACTACTGCAAGTATGTTCCCAGCACTAGTAATTCCTATAAACCCCTCTCTGCCTCTAACCACAGAACCAACAAAAATTTCTCTGGTTCTTCTGTCATTTTTGGTCTTACCATGGGAGTAATGCAGGTCTGTGAGTACATCCATTTGTGGCTCTGTGTAGGATCAAGGATGTGTGTAACTTTTGGGCGTTCCAGGAAATAAGTTGTGCCCAAAGTTCATTTGGGCTGTTTCAAAAGTGATGAGGATGCAGGGGTCCCGGCAAGAAGGTCTTGTCTTTCTTGTGCAACAGCGCTCTGAGGAGATATTTCATCTGGCTGCCCAGCTAAGACAGATGCTGAACTGATGGAAAATGTTGCTTTTGCAGCTGTTGGACCATGTCCTTCAGCTGGGCAGAATATAGTCAGTGAGGTGCATTTGGACAGTCACTTTGGTTTTTGGCACTGGCATTGTAGGCACTGCTTTAGGCTCAGCTAAAAAGTTAGTACAGACTTTTTTCCCCCTCTCTCTTCCTTCTTGGTGGTGTTTGTTCTAATGCTTGTCAGTGGTTATAGATGTAGGAAGGGAGGATTCCCCTATCATGCTTTTGGCTACATACTACCTCTTGAAGTGAACTGTGGTCTTTGGCTGCCCATAGAGATCCACTATGACCATAGAGATCACTATCTGTGATGTCCTTTATCAGGGTGACATTGAGAAAATCATATGACTATCAGGCAGAAACATATTCTGCTGCATGATCCGTTCCCTGACCGTAGATTCCCCTCAGCTCTTACTCCATGAGTTAGCAAGGTGTTTAGGTAATGAAGGAGAGATAGAAAGCCCCAGCCAGATCCAAAGCATTACTCCTCCTCATCCAGTCCCTACTGTTAGGTCTCTCTAATCTTTTGAGAAGCACTTTCCAGCACCATCCGCAGTCTCTTCACTAGGAAAGGAGGACCATGACCATCTCTGCACATGGATGTCATTGAGTTTTCTTTCTGGGCCAGAAAGGAAGGGCTGCTGCTAGGGACCTTTGCAGTGCTAAGGGTGGGCTGAACTCTTTGCCAGCTGCTCATGTGCAATTACTGTTCAGTTCCAATTGAGTGCCACTCATGCCTTTGTGCCTTTGTCTGTTCTCTCTGTCCCTGCTGTTTCTATCAGCCTCACCTACGAAGACACCAAGCACACCAGAATCACCAGCCACTCCCTCACCGGAGACTCCTACCGCCTCCACCCCAACAACAACTGTTCCAACTGGACAAACACCAACACCCACTCCAACTACTTCAAGCACATCCTCACCAACACCAACATACACCACCACCCAACCAACTCCAGGTAATTCTCTGGCCTGTGCTATTTTTTGTTTCCTTCCTGTGGTTGTCCTGACGGTACATGAGCATTTCAAATTCTGCCTCTCAGCGGGATCAGGGATGGGTGCAGCTGCAGAGCATCCCTGAAACTACCTTTGCTTAAAACCTGCCTTTCGTTTGGCTATTTAAGAATGTGCAACGTTTTGGCGTTCTGGGGAAAAAGATCTGAGGTCTTCCTTCTCTCAATAAGACTCAGAGCAGATGTTCTGTACTGATGCTCATCTGATGGGAAATCTTGCCTTTTTTGCTGCTGGACCTTCCCCCTCATCCAGAACTGGGCACACGTGCAATTGTGGCATGGCTTTGGGTTTTGGTACTGGCTTTTTAGGCACTGACTGGATATAACTGTGTAGACATTCTTCCCTCTCTCCTGTTTCTTTGCCCTGTTAGTACTAATGTTTCTCAGCTGGTGTAGATATGGGAATGATGGATATGCTTTTGGGAGCAGATTCACTCCAAAGACTGACTTTCTTTGAACTGTGGTCTTTGGCTGACAAGATCCACTAGTACTCTGGGAAGCCATTTCTCAGTGTGACATTGGGAAAAGCACATGCCAATCAGGCAAGAACATACTCTTGTGTATGCTTCCTTCTCTGATCACAGCTTCCCATCTCAGCTCTTACCCCAGGATTTAGCAAGGTGTTCTAGATAATGACATAGAGGTCAAAAGCCCCAGCCAGACCCAAAGCATTGCTCCTTCTCATCTCCTACCTATTGGTAGATCTCTCTGATTTGGTGAGAAGCACCTTCCAGCACCATCTCATTGCTCAGAGGGAAGGGCCATGACCCTGTGTGTGCATGGATTTCAAATAGTGTGCTTTTTGGGTCCAGAAAGGCTAAGGTTTGGCTGACCCACCTTAGCTGCTCCATAGCAGCTGCCTCATGTGCAGCTTCTGTTCAATTCACATTGAGTCCCACTCATGCCTTTGTGCCTTTGTCTGTTTTCTCTGTCCCTGCTGTTTTTAACAGCCTCACCTTCGTCCACACTGAGCACACCAAAATCAACAACGACTCCTTCGATACCGGAGACTCCCACCACCACCAGCACCACCGGCCCTCCGAGCACAACAACCTCTGTTTCTGGACCAACAACTACCCCCTCAACTCCTGAAATTATCACCAGAACCCCATCGGTTCCACCGACTCCACCCACAGAAGAAATAAGTAATTCCCAGGGTTTCATGCCATTTGCTGGTTTTAGAAAGTGGGGTTTATTGGCAGCTTAACATGTGTTTCAGTTTCTATACTCTGCACTAATGTAGTTGGTTATATTTCAAAAATACCCCAGCTAACCTTTCAGGAGCAATGTCATATCCCCTACTCCCAGTTCATCTGCCTCTGTTAAAGGACATGAAGTACATGAAGGAGTTTGCCTGTCCTCAGTCAAACGTGAATTAGTTTTTGTTGAAGGACTGTCCTTGTGGGCTGCCTGGGCAGAATCAGTGTATCTTAATTCCTCTATCATTATTACTGCACTCTATTATGTACACAGTGCTTCTCTCTCTACCATGTGTTACATATCGTGCTATAAAAGCACAAATAGATGGCTCTGAGGCTTGCCTGTGCAAATCATGAATACTTTTTAACATCCTAATAAAAAACGATTTTAAAGGAGTCCCCATTAGCAACCATAATGAAAACTGGCCATGTGAAAAATCAGAAAAGTGTATTTGGGGTTCATAACATCCCAAAATAGCTTGTGTGTGAGTAGTGTTAAAGGCCTGGGCATTAGAAATGGAACACAGCCTGCTCTAGCAACTGCTCCATTTCTGTAGAATCAAATGACTCTAAGCATAATCAATGGTGGCATGAACCACCATGAAGCAGCACAGGGAATAGTGGTCTTTCCATAGAATATAGTATGACAGCAATACAGTATTAACCAGAGTTCATTGATCTATTCAGTGGATTCCCCTGGGTATAGGATTGCTGAGCTCTTCTCTGCAATATAAAGTTTTAACACTGCAGAAGATGTTTCTTCTGACACTGTTGATAAAGTGTTTATATCAATGTCTCCTATGCAAGATGTAGATTTTGTTAATAATCCCTCAGTGATGCATAGACCATTAATAAAACAATTTCTGCTTTATTTCAATCTAAAGACCCTATGCTTAGGCCTGTTGAACTATATATGCTTAGTAGAAAATGAGATGACATTAGGAAGAAAATGCAATTTCCCTACTTAAAATACTCTGTTTTCTCTCTGTCTTAAAGAAGGTACCACAACAGCTGAACCACAGACGTCGACAAGCACCCCAGTTACTCCTTCAACTACCCCACTGCCAACAACAAGTACGACAGAAATAAGTACATCTACTGCAAGCACCACCAGTCAACAGTCAACATCACCAGTGTCAACAAGCCCAGTGACAGCTACCACCTCTGAAGTCACTGAAACAACACCAACCACCAAGACAACCACTTCAGGCCCCACACCCTCAAGATCCACCAGCACCACACCAGTAACAGAAACACCTTACCATGAGACCACTACCACC